GATAACCAAAAAATATGAGTTATTTCCCCCCAAAAAAAGTCGCTGTATTACAACTTGTGTCAATTCTTAATAGCTATTTCGCACTAAATTTAATTTGCTTTGCTATTTTTGTAAACAATAAAATTCTTATCAATACCATCCATTTATTTATGCGGTGCTGAAGTCCTCACGTTACCGTCTTCAGTCATCTTATCAGTTCAACGATATGATTAGATCGCGATTAGCAGCAAGAAAAAACTTGCCTAGCACCTGTGCTAGCAAATACAGCGATGGTCAAAAAAAACAGATAAAGTAAAATTTTTATTTTTTGCTCAAATTGATTGCGTAAGTGGTACATTCTTAAAAAAAAAATAAAAATAATAATAAGTAAATTCGCTTAGCCACCCAAACAAGGTGAAAATGTTAAGTTGTATTATAAGCAATATGAAAAATATCTTACCCGTAATCGGGTGCAAAAACAGCTGCTCTTGGGTCAGGAAACAATTATTTCAAAAAAAAACATGGCATCCTAATTCATCATACGACGAATCATACTTATTTAAAGGTTGAGAAAAGACACCATTTTACTCCAATTTTTTTTTTTTTGTAAGAGTTTAGATCGAAATGGTTTTAAAATAAGTTATTTTTTAACAAATTAAAAAAACTTCAAATTTTTTAAAGGAAAGGTGTTACCTTACAGGTGGTCCCATATTAATTTGGTTTAAATCCGATCATCGGATCATGAAGAAATTAAAGATAATGTTGAATTTTTATATGAGAATTGAAGTCGGTTTTGTTTTTTGCTTAAAAACTACTTGTTTTGAAAAATCACTTCTTTTTTTGTGAAAATGAAAATTTAAGGGCCAAATTCACAGTGCATAGTTAACTAAGAATCGACAATTAACTACAGGTTTTTGTACTGAAATTCTGTAGTTAACTACCAAGAACTAATTAATTAATTACCAAGAATAGCACCACAAATATTTTTTTTTGCAATAAAACTTTGTAACAAATTTTTAACATTTTTTAGTTTCGGAAATTTTTTTTTATATTTAAATTAATATTTTTTTTAATTTAGATACTGTGAAATTTTTTTTTAATATCAGATTTTTTTTTCAAAACTGTATTACAAAGAAACTTAATTTATTTAACAGGATTTTTGAATACATACATATGTAATTCTTTTAAATAATAATTGGTTTTATTTTTTAAAAGTAATTGTTAAGAAACATTAAGGGTATTCTGGAGTCTTGTAAAGCCCTTGCACGGGCGAGAAGACTCCTTTTATTTAAATCACTTATCCTAACGGATATGACCCCTAAAATAAAACTCATCAATTATTCGTTAAAATTGGATTTTTATTTTTGATCGTTACTTTATGATTTTTCTTCTTTCGAACAAGAATAACCGTTATTTTTGGATTTTCAGTTTTTCGATCATACCATTGTCATTATTTTCAGAGTTAATATTTTAGATCACAAAGTATTTAAAGCGATCTCTATTATAACGGCGAAATATGATCGAAAAAATAAAAATCCATAACAAGTATTTGTTTAACAAATTAAAAAAAAAAAAACTTTTGCAAAATTCCATCTTTTTAAATCAATTAATTTTTGTAAAAATTAACTTGGAAAACAATTGAAAGTAAAAAGTTTCGCTTGAACAGTTTATTACTAATAATAAGTCCATTAATTTTTATTTCCAATAACAATTTTTTAAGAATTTTTTTATAATCTTTTGTTTTGAGAAACTATTTTTGTAAGTCAATATATATACTGTTAAAGTTGGCTGTTGAAAAACATGGGACGATTTTTTTTTTTTTTTTCAATTTATCACTAAGGATAAAGCCAAAAATCTTTATTTCATATATACATTTTTTAAAAAGTGTGTTACGGATTTTGTATAATCTTTTTGTTATTTAAGTATTTTAATCAAATTTCAGTAAAAATTTAATTTAAAAAAATTGATTTTATTTTGAAAATCAGATCATCATCATTCATCATTTTTATTTTTTTCGGTCAAGAATAATAGTTCATTTTGGATTTTTATTTTTTCGATTAATTTTGGATCGATATTTATTATTTTTGTTTTGTTTTCGATCATACCATAACCGCTGTTTTCAAATTTAATTTGTTAGATCTAAAGTATGCGAAACGGTCAACGCTGTTAAATTACCTCTCTATGTGTGTCTAGAGATACCCCCTCCCTGTCTATAGGGAGTGCTTTTTAATGCAGTAAAATCACCATTTGTGAGTACACACTAGTCTACCCAGCGACGAGTCTTCTAAACGATTCATAACAGGGATGCGTCCTTTAATTATAACAAAAGGATATAGTTTTGAACAACTGAATAATCGAATAACGTGCAGGGGCAAAAGTAGAGAGTAATCGCGTTTGAAACACCCTTTATCAAACGCGCTTAATTATCACCCGATGAAGTACCCAATACTTGTAAGTGCTAAAAAAAGCTTAATAAGTAACACAAATGCATTTTCTCTTAATCAAATAAATGCAATAATAGTTATGCAATACAAACCAAAAAACAAACGCAGTTGCACTCATTTTATCTTTTCTAATGATAATAATCGTAAAAATTAATGAGACTAATACTAAATTAAACTATCTAACGAGCAGCGTTGGATGGCTGAAGTTCGTAGCAGAAGTCACTTTCCGTTGTACACTCACAACACATTTGTACATTGCAATACTATTTGAAGTAAATTGAATAGATATTATTGAGGTCATTTAACGCTTCAGCACCAGTTTGTGAATTAACGCAGCTCAGTGCTGAAGTAATACACAAAATCAAAGCAACGATAGCAACGCTCAAATGTCGCAATTGAATATACGGCCACTACCAGAAAATCTACAAAAAGTGGCAATCGAGGAGCTGCATGAGCGACCGGAGCGCCTACAAGAGGATCTACAGGCGTTGAAGAGTTGGGCCGACAAAGAGCCACATTTGAATGTACGTCCCGATGATCAGCTGTTGGTAGGATTTCTACGTGGTTGCAAATTCAGCCTAGAAAAGGCCAAGTCAAAGCTCGATTGGTTCTATACATTGAAAACTAAGTATCCTGATTTTTACACCATATCCGATGTGAATGATCCGACTGTACAGGAGCGCTTGCGTTATGGGTAAAATATGTGTGCTTTATAAGAAATGTATAAAAACTGAAATTTCTTCAACAGCTCTGGTTCGCTACTACCTACGCCATTGCATGACACTGGTCCACGAATTATGTTTATACGCGCCGGCAGTTATCCACCCGATAAGTATACGTTTAAGGAAATAATGGCAGTAGCGCATGCGCAACAAGAACTATGGATACGCGAAGATGATTATGCGGCTGTAAATGGTTTCATTGATGTCTTGGACGTATCACGTCTAACGGCAGCGCATTTGGCACAACATACGCCAACTGTTGTTAAGAAGATGTTAGTTTTTGCCGAACAAGCGATACCTTTGCGACAACGTGCCACGCATTTCATTAATATACCAGCAGGCTTCGAAAAGGTATTCAATATGCTTAAACCGCTGATGCCAGCCAAGCAGCAGGAGCGTGTAAGTGTTGAGTGATAATTTCGATGCAAAGAATATTGTATTAAACGGCAATAACATTGTTTTTATTTTCATCACCCATAGCTTCATTTACATGGCAACAATTTAGAGTCACTGTATGCGCATATACCACAAAAATATTTGCCCAAAGAATATGGTGGTGAAAATGGTTCTATTGAAGAGATTACAGAGCTCTCAGTACAATTCTTCTTGGATAGACGTGATTACTTTATAGAGGATCATAAATATCGGAATAATGAGAAGTTGCGTGTTGGCAAGCAGCCAGACTTTGATAGTATATTCGGCATGGATGGCACATTTCGAAAGTTGGATGTGGATTAATCGAAAAAAAACTATGCCGAATGGTAGTGGATAGTGGATAGGTTTATGAGAGAATTTTCGGACTTACAAGTATATGTAAATGGTGGAGATATACAGATTAATAAAGCAAAGCAAAGATGAGTGAGTTTGTTTAATTTAAAAAGTTATCAAATATTGACATTTGACTTGTTTGTGCGAGGCCTTTTGCTGCCAGAAATACACTCGTAGTTTTGTAACTGCCTGCCGAGGTGAAAGCTCTATTAGAATAAAACAAACGTGTACGTGGTCGGAACAGCAATTGACACAAGGTCGAACTGGGGAAGCACACATGTCTAACCACTAGGCTAAGGCGGCCGCTAATACTTTTATTCAGCTTTCTTTAAAGTAATATCTTAAATTTTGATTGGTTGATATTTAAAATATTGTAATCAATGAGCATTAAGAAAACTAATAAAATTAATCTTATAATTTGTGCAATTCGAGACCATTTAAAAAAGTACCTGCTCAAAACATCATATTTCGTTTTTTATATTACGTATAGAGTTTTATTTGTTTTATGTCATTGTACAGCTCATACGAAACTGTCGTATATTTGTATTTGTAGGTACTAATTTCACACATATGAACATACATATGTATAATAGTATGTTAGCAAAATATTTTATGAAATAGGTACTAGTAATTCAGACATATGTATACATGACAATGTAGAAAACTTGTGCGATTTTAAATTAAACTGCAATTTCCTTCCTCAGCCTTTCATTTAAAGACAAAACATACTACAAGTAGGTATTAGTAACAATCAGTGCGACATTCATAATCATCTCGCCGCTTTCGCCCTTTACGAGTTCTTCTGCTGAATCTTGACAATCACACTCTTCACCTCGGTATAGTTCTGCAACGCATATTCACTATTTTCTCGTCCATGGCCGGACATCTTGTAACCACCGAAAGGCATTTGTGCGCCAAAGGCATTGTATGTATTCACCCAGACTGTGCCGGCGCGCAAACCCTGCACGACATAGTTGGCCTTATCAATGTCGCGTGTGAAAACAGCCGCCGCCAAGCCGTAGTCGGAGTTGTTGGCACGCTCAATCACCTCATCCAAAGTCTTGAAGCGAATGAGCTGTTGCACGGGGCCGAAGATCTCTTCCCTCGCGATCGTCATGTGATCGTGCACATCAGCGAATACAGTGGGTTCTACGAAATAGCCGGGCAGATGGTTGGGACGGTTGCCGCCTGCTACTAACTTGGCGCCTTGCTTCTTGCCTTCCTCAATCATGCCGAGAATGCGTTGTAGCTGCTCTTGATCGACCTGTGGGCCCTGTTCAACATGCAATTCGAAGGGGTTGCCAAGCGTACGCTTCTTGGCACGCTCAGCGCTGCGTTCAACAAATTCATCGTAAATTCTATCTTCGACAAAGGTACGCGAACCAGCGCAACAAGTTTGTCCCATGTTGAAGAAGAGCCCAAAGTGTGCGGACTCCACAGCGTAATCCATATCGGTGTCGGCCAAAACAATATTCGGGCTCTTACCGCCTAACTCCAAAGTGACGCGTTTCAAATTGGTGTTTCCAGAGGCTTGCTGTATGAGTTTACCCACTTCAGTGGAACCGGTAAAGGCGACCTTATCGACATCGTAGTGATTGGCCAACGCGGCGCCAGCGTCGCCGAAGCCGGGCAGCACATTAACTACACCTTCTGGGAAGCCAGCTTCTTTAATCAGTTCAGCTATGTAGAGTGCAGTCAAGCTAGTCTGTTCAGCAGGTTTTAGTACAATGGTGTTGCCAGTAGCTAGTGCTGGTCCCAATTTCCAGGCCAACATGAGAATTGGGAAGTTCCATGGAATGATTTGGGCGCACACGCCAACAGGTTCATGACGTGTGTAAGCAAAGAAATCACCATCCATGGGAATGGTCTTGCCATGATTCTTATCAGCCCAGCCGGCAAAATAGCGTAAATTCTTGATAGCGACAGGTACGTCAACATTGTAGGCGACTGCATAGGGTTTGCCGTTGTCCAACGTTTCCAAACTCTAGAAAAGAATGAAGGTGAAGAAATGTTGGCGATGCAATAAAAAAAATGAAACTCACGGCCAAATAAACGCGATCACGCTCTATTAGATCAGCCAAACGATTCAAATGAACACCGCGGTCGGAGGCGTCCATGCGGCGCCATGGTGAACCGACCCTGTTAAAGAAAAATTAATATTTATGTTAATAATATTTTTTAACGATAGCGTAAATATAGTATAAAAGCTTACTTGAAAGCGTTGCGTGCGGCCTGCACAGCGATATCAACGTCCTCCTTGCCGGCACACTGGATTTCAGCGACTTGTTTTTCAGTAGTTGGATTAATGGAAGGGAATGTCTTTCCAGTTTTGCTCTTGTGCCATTCGTTGTTAATGAAAAGCTGTATAAAGAGAAATGTGGAAAATAGTGAAATGAATAATGATCATTGTCTTATTAATTACCTTATATGATAAGAAAACTAGATTTATGTCTTATGTTTTTAAATAAATATCAGACTCCCTGATGAAGACGTGAAGGACGCCGAAACGCGTAGGAGAGAGAAGGAAAAGTAAATTTTGCCTTTTGAATTTATCGGCCGAAAAGCTCCGCATACAACCCAATAACAAAACTAGATTTAGTTAGTGGTTTTAAACTAATATTTCGCACACAAACTGTTCTTCAGTATGCAAATTAACCTGAACTTGCAGAATTTTTTGACAACGGTTTATTTGAGATTTATTGCGGCAACATTATTATATTTTGGTAAGTAATGCTACGTGCTTTAAAATATCTGTTAGGTAGGTTTTCTTAAGCTCTCTATAGATTTTATATTTACGCATATATAGTAGAAGCTAACAGAGCTGGGTAAATGCAATTACATTACAATTACAATTACATTCCTCAGGAATTGTAATTAGGATTCAATTCCTTTAGTTCACTGCAAAGGAGTCGATTACTTTTTCAATTCCTTGAAGTAATTTCAAATGGAATTGTTTTTTTCTTTAATTCCATTACAAGGAATTTCATATTGTAATTGGAATAAATTACGTGCTAATAATGTAATTTCTTTTATTTCAATTCCTTTGAAAGGAATTGAAAATGTAATTTTTTTTTCCAATTCCTTTGAAAGGAATTGAAAATGTAATTGATTTTTTTCCAATTCCATTCCTCAAAGTAATTTAAAAAGTAATCGAAAAATTTATAAAAAAAAATTTTTTACTGTTGAATTGCTTTGTTAAATTTCCTGCTAGTATTTCATACAAAAAATTATTGCACTTTCACTTAACCCTTGCAAACTTGTTTATTTATCCATCGATTTTCATCGGTAGTAGTGTTTTAACCCGCAAAACAAGCAGAGTTTGGCTAGTCTATACTAATATATATTTTGAAAGGCGTTTTTTTTCTGTTCGCAAAGCTCGAGAAAGGCCGTACCGATTTTTTTGAAATTTCGGAATCTACTGCAGACTTTCCAAGGATGGTTATAGCTAAAAAAAGTTTCGATATAGAAAGGGGGCGTGGCACCTCCCATACAAACCGACTTTTTCAAACTGCATATATTTGTGGTAGAGGACTAGAACTGGGTATGGTGATATCTATATACATATATAAGACCAATTCCATACTCATGGACAAAAATTTTCATGGTTGGAGAATGGCGTGTGGCACCTCCCATATAAACCAAACTTTTCATATTGCATATTTCTGGAAGTGTTCATGGTAGACTGTAAGCCTTTTTAAAACTCTTTAGTTTGACACCCACATGCCAACATTGCATTTACTTTATCAATTTAACTGAGTTACAATTTCCAAATAGGTGGCAGCCCCCTCAAAAATATTTCCAACAATTATCTTTCTCAAACCTTTTTAATTTGATACCCATATTGTAATATTTTATTTATTTTATCAATGTAATTTAGTTAAATTTTCAAACAGATGGCAACCCTCCTCAAACATATTTTCGGCAGTAAGCCTTCTTAAAACTTTTTAGTTTGACACCCACATGGCAATATTTCATTTTTTTTTAACAATTTGACTGAGTTTAAATTTTCAAATAGGAGCCCACCCTCGTCAAAAATACTTCCAGCAGTTATCTTTCTTAAACCTCTTTAACTTAATACCCATATTGTAATAATTCATTGATTTTAAATTAATTAAATTTTAAAATAGGTGGCAACCCACCAAATTTTTGCGATATCATTGGTTCTGGTATTATACCGAATAATAAAAAAAATATTATTCAAATCGGTTCAGCCGTTCTCGGGTTTTGATGACCGTGACATACGAACACAACATTTTTATATATATATATAGATATACATGGAAGATGGCCAATGTGTGCTTTCGATTTTAATCTTTGACCACAACAAAAATTCCACATTGTATATTCGTGAATGAACTTTCAGTTTCTCGATTACTTTTACAATTCCTTTGAGTAATTGGAAAAACTAAAGTACTCTTGCAATTCCAGGTAATGGAATTGAAAAAAAATCAATTACATTTTCAATTCCTTTCAAAGGAATTGGAAAAAAAAATTACATTACTAGCACGTAATTTATTCCAATTACAATATGAAATTCCTTGTAATGGAATTAAAGAAAAACCCAATTACATTTGAAATTACTTCAAGGAATTAAAAAAGTAATCGATTCCTTTGCTGTGGACTGAAGGAATTGATTCCTAATTACAATTCCTTGTAATCTGTAATTGGGAGTAATTTAATTCCTAAAGGAATCATTACGACCCAGCTCTGGAAGCTAATCATAATCAATATATTTACATTTTAAATTGCAATAAAATATATTTGACATGAATAATAAATACATAAATAAAAGCATGATTTTTTTTTTTTTTATTCGAGAAGCAGATTGAGAAGAAATAATCTCCGAGCGTCTTTCTGAGGTACCTCTTATGTACATATAGCAAAGGCAGAAGCCCAAGTAGTGCCACTCCAAACAAGGTAGAAAAAATAAGAGAAGGCAGAGTGGAAGGCCTTTCGGAAGAGTTTTAATAGTACATAGATTGGCGCTTACACAATATGTTAGTGTTTGGCCGAGCTACTCCTCCGATTTGGTGTCACACAAAGTGGAGGGACCTCGGAAGAGCTTTTAGCTCCCGGAATTACCCTTCAGCCTCCGTTTTTCAATAGACATAAACTGCAGTTAAAGCTTGGTGGAAATTAACAATAAGATTTCGTTTATTAATATTATTGTCATTATAATAAGAGGTTCAATCCCACATTCCTCGGTCTAGATCTAGTAAAACTCTATAAAAAAAATTAAACTTCGCTCAGAGCGAGAGAGTAAAAGCAAAAAAGGCAGTAGCTTCTGGCAACTACAACATAAGGTCAGTTTAAACATTCTTCAATCAAAATTATTCTTACTTGCCTATAAATTTATTTCCGAGAATTCGCTTTCCAAGACAAAACATTTGTTACAAATTACTTGATTCATGAACAAGCATATCATTGCGGAATTATACCAGGTGAAGTAATTAGAACGAGAAGAAAGATTTTGACACTGCCTTATATGAAATATATATTTTATATATTTTAAAGGCAATAAAAGCTCTGATCCAGTACTCCATGAACTTACAGGATTTTACACGAACTTGCAGGAAGTTGCAGGAAAAATGTTCCCGTACTCCAAAATTCTCCAAAATTCTGTAAATGAGAGCGACTTTTGGAGAGTTGTGTAGAGAATGAAGTTGCAAGATTTTACCCGAACTTTTTCTCCTGGTAAAATCATGAAAAGTGTCAAGCAATTACTGGTTGACTTTTTTACAGGAAAAATGGATTTTTTGTACCCGTACTTTTTGTTGTTACTCACTTTTTACTCTCACTTCAGAGAGTAATTTTGCTGTTTGACAGTTTTACAAGATTTTTCACGAAAAATATTGGGTCAGAGCTATTATTTGACTATAAAGTAGCCGAATGTCAGAAAATAAAGCGAGAAAGCTGTTTTATTACTTCACCTGTTGCAGGCATATAAGCTCCAAATTTTGCTTTGAAGTAATGCTTATATTGTATCTAAACACACGCGGATCAAGTACGCCATTTGCTCTCTCAACAGTAAGTAAAATTTGGCGAGACTCCTGTTCGGGGGAGTGTCATACAGGAGTTTTGAAGAAAAGAAAACTAACCCCAAACCCATTCCACTGAGCCGCTTGGCAAAGTGGTTAGAGGTGGTGCACTAAAAGTTCCGGTTTCAAAAAACGTGACAATTATACGACATTCCCATGGCACATAATTCGCTCTCCCATTCGTAATTCGCTTTCTAATTACCCCCCTCCGAATTACGTAATTAACTATACAAAATTATGAGAGCGAATTAACTCCTTTATAGGTAATTCAAAACCAATTACCAATTACAAAACAAGAGAGAATGGAAAAAATAAAAACCAAGAAAGGGAGTAATTGAAGGGTTAAAAATGAACTGTCAAATCGAATTAAGAATGTGCTAAAGTATTTCAGAAGCGAACAACGTAATTGGCAGTGGCCGTGTGAACTTACCTTAAACCTACTGTTGAATCTGCTGGACCCATAAAAGTTAAATTTTTCCCCTGGCAAGCCTCTTTCAAGTTCTTTTCAACATAAGTGAACTATTTAGTGAATAAATAAACATGTAAAAAATAAAAAAAAAATTAAAAAAAAATAAAAAATTAAGTTATTTTTTCCTTATTGATATTTTATGTTAAAAAGTAGTTAGTTACAAGTCCTAACTTTTTTCGGCCATCGCCCTTCAAAAGTAGTTAGTCACGGACAAAGAAAATAACCAATTAAAAAGGGTAATTTTAGCTACAAACTAGCTCAATTTCCTGCAGGGCATGTAAATGACAAAGCACTTTTATATGAAAGCATTAACTCTATCCACGAGTACTAAGCAAATTTCGGAGCCGTACATAGTACATAGCGGGGAATAATAGGTAGATATTAAAAAGCACACACATATAGTTAAGATATTAAAATACAGAATGGTTATTTTTCAAGTAAAAAAACTTTGTAAAAACATCATTATCTTGCTTAATGAGTGGCGGAGTTGATACTTTTTGAAATGAAGTCATCATCAAATATTTAACATGTATATGTATGTCGGAAAAGGTTTATTCAAATTCGCCGCTACAGTAAAGGATTGAGGTTCTATTTGGAATTTGGCAACTCACAAAAGATTTTGCATGTGTAGCACGTAAAAGCTTTTAATTACTTACATAGATAATTTGCGATAATTTATTGTTCATTCATCATTATTGCCCCTATAAATAATATACATATGCACATCAAATAGGTAGTATTTATTGCTGTGAAAAAGAGAACACCATGAATTTATCAATTGTGCACGGATGTACCTACAGTGACGAGCAAAACTGTAACATGGTTTAACACTTTTTATTTCAGCCACCGCTATC